TGGAAAATCTTAAAATTTATTTAACTTAATTTGTTATATCGAAATATCAAAATGTTTTCAACAGCACCCCTCAGGATATCCGGACTGAAATTATACTTTCGACTCTGCTAGCTTTTCTAAAGAAACTCGGGTGTCCGAATTGTTTCCCGAGCATCAAACAAGGCTAATCTTATTTGATCCTACTTTTTTTATTTCTACATTTAAAATTAATTTTATTATTGTTCTCACTTGTAGTGTTATTAGAGAGTAATTATCAGCTTTTAGAAAAACCTCACCTATCTCTAAACATCTCTTTTTTACTACTTAACACAAAGCCTTGGTATCAATACTGACCTTACAGTATCGATACTACCTTCATAATTCCCCTTGCTTTAAAACTTAAACCATACCCTTGGTATAGATACTGTCCTTACAGTATCGATACCCCAACAACTATTTCATCCATTTCAACCCAACTTTAAACACCTTATTTAGCACTTATTCTAGTGTATTACGCCTATTCGATCACATTTTTGGCATGGGTTTCGAAATTTCTCTGGCAGAATATCATTCTAGACAAGAGGTTTTAAAACCAACCCAGGGGTTTCGAAACCTATACTGCATAATTCACTTTTTAATTCGAGAAAACTCTCCAAAACACTCTAAAAACCTTTCCAAAATCCCCAAACTCCTACCTTGAGGTTTCCCATTTATTATTAAGTCTTATGTGATATTAAAGGGAATAAATAAGGCTCTTGAACATGCTATAACACCATTACAAAGAATTTACCTTTAAACTATACTCAACAATCTTCAACCATAATTCTCAAGCTAAAATCTCAACTTTCCAGCTAAAACTCATTTCTAATGATCTACAACTGATATGAAGAAGTTGTAAGTGTGTTACATGGCCTTCTTGGTTGCTAAACTCCTTTTGAATCAATTAGAAATTACATTTCCTTTATCTTTATCTTTGGAACTCTCTTTCACCCCTTTAACTAATCAAAGGTAATTAAAGGAATTACTAGCTTATTTAAGGCTTGAAACTAAGTTTAAAACATTTTATACTACTTAATATTACTCAGACAAGCTTAAATCTCTTGGTTTCTTTCAAACTCACAAAAACCCATTTTTGAAAACCAACACCAAAACTAAAGATTAAAGGCTTGAAATGAAACTTAAGGGATGATGAATATGATTCTTACCTTGGTTTATTCTAATTTGACTTGGGATTTAAAAAGCTTCTAACTTTTTGTTTTCTCGGGAAGGAAGAAGAAGAGAGAAAATGAGAGGAAGAAGTGCATATATTTTTGGAGCTTAGTTTTTCACGTAAAAAACACCTAAATAAGGGGGGGTTTGTTTCTTTAAACCAACTATGGGTAAAATATTCTTTTGGTCATTCTCCTTCTAACTCACTTTTAAAATCATCAATTCTCTTATACTTTTGGGCATTACTTAAGCCCAATACCTATAAAACTTGGTCCAACTATCTTGGGAGATCTAATTGGCTTGACTTAAAGGTCTCGGGTTAACCAAAACTACTAACCTAAATTTCGGAGTATTACAACTCTCCCTTCCTACAAAAAACTTATCCTCAAAATTTCCCTAGAGAAAGGTTTTAGTCTGAAACTCTACTGGGCATCTGCGACAGATCTTGACTATTAGAACATCTAACTCTAAGGGTGGAAACTCAAACCCCTATCTTAAGGTCATTGGTTGAAACTCTTTCTCCTGAACTAGTTCATAACTAATAGAGGAATCTTTATGGCACTCCAAAACTCACTACTAACACCAACTCTTTTCTTCACTAACCTTACTCAACCGGGTTAACTTATAACACAACCTGATAACCTCTTTTATCATCTGGGCATATACAACTCTGATAACTGATGACACTTGCCAAATCTTTTACTAAAGTCAACCGCTATCTTTTGGTGCGCAACTCTTATCCAATACTCATCTACGCTAACCAATTGCTTCCTCGACCTCGTGGTTCCTCCATGAAACCTTCACCAGAGGAATCCTTATAAGCCCTAATGGCCGACATTAACCTTAAACCCTTGGTTTCTCACTAAACACTGTTATCTTAGTCTCGTCTCCCATCCTAAGCTTAAGCCATCGAAACTTATATCTTAAACTCACCTTACTAGAATCACTAGCTAAGGAAACTCTATTCTTATGCTTACCCTCTCGGTTGTGGCATGAGCATTCTACTATTGCAGATGTAGAAGTATGAGATAACTCTTTAGGGGCATATATACTTATAAACTCTTTACTGACACTGACCAACACTGACCTGAGGGCCCTAAAAATGACTAAACCTCAACTCTAACACCACTAAATATAACACCCTAGACTAATACGACACACAGTTGCCCAATTTGGATGCCACACGAAACCATCGAAGTTGTTGACCAACTTTTTCTCTTCTACTTCTCTGACTTTAAGGCAACCATTTTAATAAAACCAACCATAAAATAATATAATAAAGATTTGTTACATCGTAGAGCTATCAAAATAAATAAATACTTTTCAAAATTATACAAACTCACTCATAACTGACTTTACAACTTAATACATTACAACTGGGTTTATGATATACATACACTTTAAGAAACTGGATGACGTACTCTGCAGATCTGAACCTCAGTCACTCTAAATCTTCTCAAACTGGTTTATCTACTAACATACCAACAGAAACATCCGAAGGCTGAGCTAACTAGCTCAGCGCTACACTAGCATCTAAATCATATTATTTATACATCACTGAAAGACTTAAGCTATCAAGTCTACTGCTTTACTATCTAGTCTACTTATCTGTTATACTATACTTTAGTGAGTATACTTGTATACTCACTATGTACTCTATGGTAGACATTATAGTATGGCTAAGGGGTTGCATCTCAGAGCTCACACACCCTTCTAGTTTACCGAGAATGTGGTCCTTTGATTCTTTGCATCGAAAACCAGACTCTCAACTAGCCTACTCCTTGAGTGTCGAACCTTGCGCCCAAACTAGTCAGCTTAAAGTGTCTTGTGCACTCCCTAAGGATATCTGGACTGAAACTATACTCAACAAGCTTCAACCATAATTCTCATGCCAAAATCTTAACTTTCCATCTAAAACTCATTTCTAATGATCTATAACTGATATGAGGAAGCTGTAAGAGTATTATCTGGTGTTCTTGGTTGCTAAACTCCCCTTGAATCAACTAGAAATCATATTTCCTTTGGAACTCTCTTTCACCCCTTTAACTAATCAAAGGTAATTAAAGGAATTACTAGCTTATCTAAGCTTGAAACTAAATCTAAAACACTATACTACTTAATATTACATAAACAAGTTTAAATCTCTTGGTTTCTTTCAAACTCCCAAAAACCCATTTTTGAAAACCAACACCAAAGCTAAAGATTAAGGGCTTGAAATAAAGCTTAAGGGATGAGGAATATGATTCATACCTTGGTTTCTTCTAATTTGGCTTGGGATTTGAAAAACTTCTAACTTTTTCTTTGCTCTTGAGAAGGAAGAAGAAAAGAGAAAAAAAGAGGAATAAAGGAATATACTTTTAGGGCTTAGTTTTTCACATGAAAAACACAATAAGGGTTTTTTTTATCTCTTTAAACCAACTATGGGTAAACTACTCTTTGGTCCCTCTCCTTCTAACTCACTTTTAAAACCATCACTTCTCCTATACTCTTGGGCCTTACTTAAGCCCAATACATATATAACTTGGTCCAACTATTTTGGGAGGTCTGATTGGCTTGACTTAAAGGTCTCAGGTTGACCCAAACTACTAACCCAAATTTTAGGGTATTACACGGAGATTGGTATAAATTTAATGTGTAATGGGCGGGTGTAGATGCAAAAGGTCATTTCTAGTGTAGATAATGGGTAGGTTATAGGTTTAAGAACTTACTCGTCCACATCTGCCTGCCCACTAAATACCCACCATATAAAATTTGGATCAGTATAAATTTAAGTATAATTTTAGAGACTATTCTATAAATTTTAAGATTTTATAAGACATGATTTGTAATTTAACCAAATATTAGAGTATTAATATTTTTTGAATTGAAGATCGTCGTTTCTCCTATCTTAAATTGGCGAGTATGAATAGGTATAGATGAATACGAAATGAGCGGTGGATATCCAGTTGAATAGTGGGTGTGGGGTGGATTTAAGAATACACCCGCATGAGCATGTGCGAATTTAAAAATTTTACCAATCGTGGGTGGTGAGTACGTAAGTAATGGATACGAAAACATAAGTTGGTGAGTCTGTCAGTTTGTCATCACTAACAATAACGTTGAAGACTTATATGCAAGAACGAAATTAAGATCAAAATTTTAAGAGGAATTAAACTGTTTTATATCGCGTAAAGTGTTTATGGGCCAAAAGTGAATAATGAATTTTTGAAATTTAAACTCAACTCGAATGATATAATCTTTATTTTTCAAGTAATATGTTTTATTATTAAAATTAAACAACGTGTTAAATTATTCATTTTTTATTCGGATTAAATCAAATCACGAGGCCAATAATCTAAATTCGAGCTTAATCCCCAACCGGATTAAGCGAAATGTTCAACCAAGAAGAGGTCTAGATGTCTTGGATCATATCAATAAAAAAACCAAAAATTAAATTTAAAAATGAACAAATTGGATAAAATTATTAAAATTACTTCTCCCTCCTTCCTTTTATGCCAAACATACCAGGTCAAAGTACTTTAAATAATACACTACTCGAAGTATGTGGATTCAAGAATGACGACTTTGTCTCTTCGTAAGGGAATACTGAGTCACTCACATGCATGCAAGTTGATAATGGTAGAGAAGTTGTAATCTTCTTTCAACTTTGCTTTTTGGCAATATCCCCAAACCCCAAAAGTCTTAGCCGATCGTTTTTGAATCTCTCCCTCGTTTACACTGCTCTCGATGCTTATCTGACTTTTGTTTTGCCTATATAAATCACTCCTCATCTATCAATCCAAACTCACAATCTCTCAAAATCGTCTTTCAGCTGAATCTTCAAGGTCTTCTCTTCTCCAACAACAATGGGGTTTAGTTGTTTTAGCCAAAGATTCGTTCTAGTTTCCCTGTTGCTTGCCGTGGCCGGTGGTGTATTGGTGGAAGGCCAGGGCACCAGGGTTGGGTTCTACTCGGCTTCATGTCCTCGAGTCGAGTCCATCGTGAGGTCCGCGGTTCAATCCCATTTCAGGTCTGATTCAACCGTGGCTCCCGGTTTGCTCCGCATGCACTTCCATGACTGCTTCGTCAATGGATGCGATGGTTCGATCCTTATCGACGGTTCCGGTACCGAGAAAACGGCGCCTCCAAATCTCTTGTTGAGAGGGTACGAAGTCATCGACGATGCCAAGACTCAGCTCGAAGCTGCATGCCCTGGTGTTGTTTCGTGTGCTGATATTTTAGCTCTCGCTGCTCGTGATTCTGTAGTTGTGGTAAGTGGTAACTATTTTTTTTGCTTTGATCTTGTTTCTATGTTGTTTGTTGGTTAGTCGTTAATGGCGGCTTTTGATAATGTAATGTGACAGAGCGGTGGAGCGAGCTGGGCCGTGCCGACAGGCCGCCGAGACGGAACGGTTTCGCAGGCATCCGATGCCGCCAATTTGCCCGGCTTCCGTGACTCGGTCGATTTGCAGAAGCAAAAATTTGCAGCAAAGGGTCTCAACACTCAAGATCTTGTCACCCTTGTTGGTAAGCGTTATAATTATATTATTACATTCGAATTCGAATATAAATTTAAATTCAAATCAATAAAAATATAATGTAATTTCTGGACTCCAGGGGGGCACACCATTGGTACTTCAGCCTGCCAATTCTTCAGATACAGGCTTTACAACTTCACCACGACCGGAAACGGAGCCGACCCTTCGATCGCCGCCTCATTCGTTTCACAACTTCAAGCTCTTTGTCCGCAGAACGGTGACGGGTCACGGAGGATCGGATTGGACACCGGCAGCGTTAACAGATTCGATAACTCGTTCTTCGCCAACTTGAGGATTGGCAGGGGAATTCTCGAGTCCGATCAAAGTCTATGGACCGACGCTTCCACCCGGAACGTTGTTCAACGATTCTTGGGCATCAGAGGGTTGCTTGGATTGACGTTCAACATTGAATTTGGAAGGTCCATGGTGAAAATGAGCAACATTGAAGTGAAAACAGGCACTGTGGGCGAAATCCGCAGGGTTTGTTCTAAAGTTAATTAACTGTAATAAATGTGGGTAAGATCCAATCATATAGTGTAAAAAAACCAAAAAGTTTTACACTGATGATGTAATTTGACCTTGTTTGTTTTGAAAATTATGGATATTGTCTACGTTAATTAATTCGATAAAAACGTGCAAATTTAAGGATAATCATTGTCAAATGCAACGTCTGTAATTGTTGATAAAGTTCTCTATATTGGACCTCTTGCTCCATATAATGGTCAAATTACAGCTTTCGTCCATATACTATATTCAGTTTAGAGATTTAATCTACTTTAACTTGATATAATATTTGATTAATTGTTGCCTTATTCTCCAAAGAGGTAGATAAAGTGCTATATACTATGTTAGCGGACTAAATATTGGCAGGAGCTAAAATCTTATATTTTTTAAAAAAAATTAGGACTTATTAGGTATTTAAACTCAAAATTAAAAAAAATGTTTAATTTGTTTAATATTTAAACTTACAATGACCTAAATTGTTATTAGACCAAAAATTTTGAGAACATTGGATTATCATTCTTTAATTCGGCCCCTACTTAAATAATTATTTAATAAATTATTGTATTTTTAATTTGAATATGAACTAAAATAATATTAGACCAAAATTTATTGAATTAAAAATTTTACAGGGTCGAGGCCCCTTTGGGCCTTAACATAGCTCGTCCCTGGTATCAATGGTAAAAAAGAGTGTTATTCTTCCTAGAGGTCTTGAGTTTGAACAACTACAATTGTAATGTATGCATGCATTGTCAATTAATTAAGAAAATTTTAAACATATATATTATATTATAATATTAAAAAAATATTAAAGATCATATATGGAGGATAAAGACTAGGGTAGTCGAGTAGTGTGGGTCACATCTATAGGGTGTATCATCTCTGTCTTCTTTTAATGTCTTTGTAGTATTTTCCATGACTTATACTTTTTATACGTTTCTGTTATTGGTATTTATGAAGGATTAGAACTGGGCTTGCTAACGTTGACTTCTGTGTATCATTCTCTTCATGTTTCCTCTTTTAAATTTAGCCGGATCTTATCTTATGTTTCTGTCTATATGCAGAGATTCTTTCGCAGGGATTATTATGCAGGGATTAATTCCCGTTACAGACGCACATATGATTTTAATGACTGCATATGAATACTGTTTAGCTATGTATTTATGTATTTATTTATACATGCATTGCATTTTATCTAAATTTTTAATTTTCTGACTGCCGGAGGTCTTCCACGGAAGTTACTCTCAACCTGGCGTTGGGGGTAGCCTACTACCCTACCTCCCCCTTACCCCATACATATGGGAATTGGGTTTTGTTGTTGTTGTAAAACTACGAATTCAAAAACTCAAAAGTAAGGTGAGTTCGTTTTATACATCATATTTTTATAAGTTAAAGGATTATGTTGATTTTTCTCAATTTAAAATATAAAGTAAATTTATAAATCAAATTAATTTCTTTCAAACATTAAACTTAAATTATTTTTAAAAAAAATATTTTAGTAAGAAGTCATCGTCAACTCAACAAACAACAACATTTGCAGTTTATCTACACAAAGATGGCCATTAATTTCCTTACAACCCAAGAGCACCAAGTGGCGTCTTTCCTTGGCCAGCCTCGAAGTAGAAAATCAACATGGCCAACATCGCAATTCTCGCATGCTTAATCTCAGCAAGCTTAAGTCTCTCAGCTTGTCATAATCAGGCACGTAAACCCCGTTTTGAATCGTTCCGGCAATCCCCAATGGGTCGAAGAACTTGCCGCCGGGGTAGCCTTGCTCGCCGGTGGCGTTGGCGAAGTTCTCGGCGGTCTTAGACCACGGTGTTGCCCATTCCACGGACTGTGATTTGGGGTTGAAGAAATCAACCTAACGCTTGCTTTCTACCCAACCCATGAGGATGAGCTGGTTTCCGAGGAGTGAACCGAAGGAGAATGGGGCTATGGTATCCGGGTCAGCTCCGGCTTCGAACCAGGGAATGCCACTCCAGGCTTGGCCGATGAAGATTCCGAGAACGGCGGCCATGGCCCAACGTCCATGGATCAGCTCGGTTTCTCGGTACCATTTGAGGAATGCTGGGTCCTTGCCGAGACCAAGCGGGTCGAATCCGTAGTCTCCGGGAGCCTGAAAAAAAGAAGAGAAACTTTAGTTAAGCAAGCGAACAAGAAATAGTAAAAAAAAAAGTGGTTTAAGAGGGGGAGGAAAAAAACATACGATCCATCGAGCCATTCGGGGTCAATGAAGTTGCCACCACCTTTGACGGCGGGAATCCAAGACTTTTTAGCTGCGGCGACGGCTGCCACAACGACAAACTTCCTAGCTCCACCGGCAGGGGAGGGGGAGACTTTTCACCCAAAAGAGCTTGGCTCCTCTTTCCTCCAGAAAGAAACGATGAGCATAACCCATTTAGAACAGCACCAGATGTAGCAGCCATTTTTTTTCTGTGATTTTTTTTTCTCGAGAAACAAGCAGATGAGTGGGGGAATCAAAAGGAAGGATTTGTAGAGAGACAAGGAGGATCGAAGAAATCTAGAGACGATATCTAAGTCAGTAAGGAGTTTAGATTTCGGACCAATGGGGAGTTGAAGTCCATCCACATCTCAACGTTGCTCCAGACCACGTGGAACCTGGTCTGGATATGATTATGCTTTGTGGGTCCTCTTTCTTTATTGTATTAGGGTTGTATTTTTACATTTATAAACATATAGTTTTTTATATACAAAATAATGAGTACACGGCACAAACATATAACATGTGAGATATTACGTGAAAAATGGTCATGAATAAGAACATATCATAAATAAATTAGTAATTATTTTATAAACTCAATCACAGTCGTAAATTATACAAAAATACGATGTAATATGAAGATAATATAACATCTTTCAATATTAATTATAGATTTTATACTGTTGTAAAATTAGATAAATCAAATAATGTTAAATTAAAATTAACATCTTTCAATAGTGCATCCTTTAATGTTTATAGATTTCACACTCATTTGACTTTATACCTTCTCGTAGCTTGGTATCGTTGACTTCTGTGTATCTTTGTATATAGGAAAGGGGTTTTGTTGTTGTTGTTGAAATTAATGAATTAAATCCTAAATTTTTGGCTAAAACCATAATTAAACTTAGAAATAAGATATTTGTCCCAACCTCAGTCGACTTATGCTAAAACCATAATTAAAATTATATGTACAGAGTAAATATAGCAAATTAGTTATAACAGTTTGTTGTAATCTGTCCAACTTCAGTTGATTTCTGTTGAGTATTGGTTAGGATTATTGTTAGCACTAATTCTATCCGATAGTATCCATCAAATCGTGTATATAAATTGAGCCGAATCTTACATTAAATATTAGGGTAAACTCTGCATTTAATATCTAAATTATTACTGTTTTTCTATTTTTATATTTAAACTTTATTTTTTTAAACGTATCTAATATTTAGTTTAAATTTTATTTTAATACACTACCGTTAAAAATTTAATAGTGGCGCTTATATAACATCATAAGGTAATATCATGTCATCATTGAAAAAATAAAAATATCATATCAACAGTTCTCTTGATTTTTTAATGACAGAATACTAAAAATTTATGGCTTCAACCTAATATGCGCATCTATAAACAGATTTTTAAAAAGTATTTTACGTTTATAACTTTTTTATCGTAAAATATACTTTAAACATCTTTTAAATAATCGATTTAACATTATATATAATTCTAAAAATATTTTTAAATTAAAATAATTTCCAAACCCAGTACTAAATGGGCTTTAACCATATTTTTAAAAATAATCCATCATAATACAACAATTATGCATGCATGGCAGCCGCCAAAGCCTGAAAAGGTCTTTGTATTTTCAGTTTCTTTAGAGGGAAGCAATGAAGAAACCCTAGATTTTCTAGGAAACAGTTAACTTACCTCATCCCGTCTTCCATATTTTATCTCCAACCCACCATTCTCTTTCCCTCTTTCTTCACTGATTCCACAATGTATATGTCTTATAAAGAAATCTCTTGTGTCTCAAGTCTCGACAAGTCAATTCACCACTGAAACTTTCGACACTTTTCTTCTCCATTTCTGAGTTTCTCTATACATTTTCGTTGGTTTCTTCTTCTTCTTCCAACGGCTGCCATGGTTTTAAGTTCATACTCGAACTGGGAAACTGATTTCCAGAATATTAATGACGAAACAGTTCAAGCTGATCAACAACAATACTGGGATCCATTTGAGCTGCCATTTGGTTTCATTGATCCTTACATTGAACTAAACAGCAGTTTTCTTCAACCCGAAAGCTACACTCCTTTACTTCCCGTCGATCCTTTGATTCCCTCGCCGCCGGAAACCACATCGTACGAGAACTTCGTCTCTTTCCCATGCTCTAAACGCCAGAAACTCGTCGACGATCAGTGTTTGATGATGATGCCCGGTTTCTTCGAGGCGGTCGATCCGAATTCATGTCCGGTGCTCGAAGACGGCATGAATCGGGTTAACGGTAAGAACAACGACGGCGACAGGAAGTGCGTGTCGGCGCAAAGCATCGCGGGGAGGGAGAGGAGGAGGAAAATAACCAAGAAGACTCAAGAGCTTGGGAAGCTCGTGCCAGGTGGGACTAAGATGAACACTGCTGACATGCTTCAAGCTGCTTTCAAATACGTCAAGTTCTTGCAAGCTCAACTCGGAATCCTTCAACTCATGAACTCGTTCTCGGTAATCTTCTACGACGATCATAATTCTTCACATACGTATGAAGATTGATTGCTTATATGAGCAAAGGGGTTTAATGTTTTTAAAAAAATGCAGGAAAATGGAGATAATTGCAAGGAAAAGGAAAGCCTGCAGATTTTAACATCTGCAAAGGTTCAAGAAAAGCTTTACGCCGAAGAGAAGTGCTTGGTTCCAAAGGATTTTGTTCTGTCTTTGACAGCAATTTCAAAGCCACCGGCCTCTGATGGACTCGCTCGCCTTTTATGACCTTCGGCTTGGTTAGCTCGGCTACTCGGACTGAATTAACTCACTGTTTTCTACATTTAACCAATTACCTCTAGTTTTGTTATTGATTGATTATGTCTGTATTTAGACTTGTTAATTTTGTTTTAATACATGTATTTATTGGTTACCAAAAAATACATGTAATTATCTTTGTTTTCATGGATAGATATATC